TTCTGTCCCCATGATCAGCGTTGCAGATGAGTTAAAAAAACATCAATTAAAACATTTTAGCTGTGGGACTCCCTGGTGGTGCAAGGGTTAAGACTCAACCTATGAGGAAATCTTTAGCCACTGCAGCACAAGTTTGATTCCCAGCTGGCCAGGGAGAAACCCACATGGTGGGACAGACCTCTCCTGTCTCACCTGCTGCTCCCTTCAGCAATGTACTTCGGTCCGTCTGCCTGTTCTGTTCCCTGCTCTGTCTTTGGTGAATCTTCTCACCCCCTGCATCTCTGGCCTGTACCCCGGTTCTTGTATAAAAATAAATAAATCTTTCTTTGAAAAAAAAATATTTTAGCTGTAGTGGAGAATTATATCAATGGAAGTATAAAGTCTAGCACATGAGAAACAGATTTTAGGCAAATCATGAAAAATGTAAATGTCAGGTTGAGGAAAATGGATTGTAATCTACATTTTGGAAGGGAGTAGGACCCAGACAAATTTTAAGAGCGAGTTAACAGCACCAAATTCCTATTTGAATTACATTTCAGAAAAGTCATTTTGTCTACAATATATGTCAGAAAAATGACAAAAGTTCAGTTTAGTTAAAGGTGATGGACTACTCTGGAAATTGCTGAAGAACTGATAATAGAGGATGGATGCAGGAGGTATTTCTGAGATAAACTGCCCAGAACAGAGCAGCAACTTGAGACTTGGGGTAAAGGGCAGTTTTGGGGGAGGGGGGAGCGTCAAGGCCTAGTATGATTTATACTGGAAAGATCTGACTGGCAATGCATTACAATTTACTTTCAAGGTTTCTTGCCTGAACCCCCAGTCATGACCAAGCTCAAGATACCAGACTTAATTATTTCTAAAGACTGCTCAAGATTTTTGCACAAAAATTCACTGAGGTCATTATAGGAGTGGTAAGAAAAAAGAAGAATATATGTTTTTTTGTCTGTTTTTCAAAAAAAAAAAAAAAAAAAAAAACCTGTCTTTTCTCCTTTGGGATTTAAGAAGAAAAATGTCACTTTTATAATGCAAAAGTTGAAAAACAAATTTTCTACTTTTTCTTTTCCTAAATTATCTTATGGTCTTTTCCATAGGGACTATTACTGATTATAAAAACAGAAACATACACAAACACTTGTTCCATCTTGTATTATTTCTTAGAATTTCCACTCATTTCCTTTAGCTCTTTTTGTAACCTTGTTTTCTTTATACCTGACAGAGTCTGCTTCTCTGTCTTTCTTCTCCACTGAAACACCTCCCATTTCTTATTTGCACTCCTGGGATTTGAATGGTTTAAAATGGAGCAATTTTCACTTTTCCAGAAAAATGTATCTCTTGAAACTTCTTTAGCTTCTAAAGAACTGAAAAACTCTCAAATTACAGAAAATAACCTTGAAGTGTTAAGGAAGGATGACACAGTTTTTTCAAGGTTCTGTAAGTATATGCCATAAAATGAAAAAAAAAAAAAGAGCAAAGAAAAACATTCATTTAGGAGTACTCTCTTGTTTCTTAACTCCTTGAACTGTCTCTGGTCTTCTCTAGAGTACTTTTTTCCCAAGATATCTTTGCATGTTCAAACAAGTGTAATGCATCTACAGATGCCTTGTGCAACTTAAATCCTTTTGTAAGAAATCATTTCTCCCAGATAAACCAGTAGTCAAAATACAAAATACATTTTTAACTTGTCCTCTCTCATAAGGATAAGCTCAATAAGTAGGAAGAAAATAGAATAGCATATTAACACCCCCCAAAAGTAGCTAAATAATGTATACTCCTAATCAAAATGAATATGAGTTTCAGGTGGAGTAAAAGGAATTTCCTCTAGCTAAGCACTGAAGGATAGATTTCTATCTTCTTCTAAAAATTTAAGACATTTTTCTTTTTCCTGCCTTTTCAGGAAATCAGCTTCTAATAACAAGTCATGTGAGTACCTAGACCAGATCCTGTTTCACCAAGGTGGTTAAACTATGGTAGGTTTTGCTAAGTGTAAGGTTTTTAAAACAATTCTTCTCAACTACAATAAAAATGTCATGACTTTGCTTTAAGAACATTTAACTTTTTAGTAGAGCTAGCAAGCTGAGACACAAGTCAAAGATACCATAGGAGAAGACTTGAAAGTTTCAATGAAAAAACAGTAAGTGACTCAAGAAGTTTAACTATTCAGAAGGTCCGTGTGTCCGAATTTCAGAGTTAACAAGACAGCACACTGGAGGAGTATTTGAAAATGTGTAATATGTCCCCTCCCTCAAAAGTGTGTCTAGCTTACAGGTAAAAATCATTTTACCATGTTACTGGTAAAATGTGTAGGAAGTTTCAGGATGGTGGGTAAGAAAGAAATTAAATTGCTATTGACTTTGTCCTTGCTTTTATGAATATAATTCATTACATTTGATGATACTATGAAGAGTCTTACTACTTGACAACTGTGTGAACCTTAGTATGAAATCTAAACCTCATTATCCTTGATGTTAAATAATAGACCATGCATTAGTTTCTGATAGCTGCTATAACAAATTACCACCAAATTTGTGGCTTAACATAACAGATTTATTATCTTACAGGTCTGAAAGTCAAAAGTCTAAAATGTGTCTCACTGGGCTGAAATCAAGTTGTCAGCAGGATTGCTTTCCATTTCTTTGCTTTTTCCAGCTGGTAGGGGCCACCAGAATTCCTTGTTTTGTGTTCTCTTACCATCAAAACCAGATATGGCTAGTAGAGTCTTTCTTGCCCTACATCACTCAAATGCTTCTTCCTTCCTCTTACAATGACCTTGTCATTACACTGGGCCCACCAAATAATACAGGATTCTCTCCCATTCAAGGTAAGTTGATCAGCAGGCTTAAATTCTTCTGCAACCTTAATCCCCTTACCATGCAGCACAGCATATTCACAGCTTGGGGGTTAGGACATGGATCTCATTGGAGAAACCAATGAGATTATTCTATCTACTATAGACCTCAGGAGTTTCTTATGAGAAATAAGTGATAAGACCACATAGTGTACAAAATGCTATACAGTGCCTATATAAAGTCCTCAAGAAATATTATTCACATATTAAATATGTAGAGAAGATATATATGACTCACTATTGGCAACCTAATCTCATCCAAAGTAAACAAGGATATATACTGATATAACAGTCAAATATTTTAGGTTTTAACCAACTTCTCCTATTTATGTCCACTGCATTTTGAATCATTCCCATTTATATATCCTTATAATTCAGTTCAGTGTGATTACAGATAGAAAGCATCCTCACATAACCTTTCATGAGATCATTGCTTTAGTAGTGAACATCATAGTTTGCTAAGAGAAACTGTCTACTTTACTGGAGCTACCACAAAGACACAGTTAGTGCACAAACAGCACATATCTCCAAAGAGAAGTCAGACATAGAACGCTGAGTAGGAACCTCTAAAGGGAAAATTGGGAGCTTCATTGCTTTCCATTATGCTCCATTCAGCTGAGATCTAAACTGCTGCTGATTTGTCATCTTTTAATCACTTAATAGAAGTTAAGTGTCCTTGGGAGACACTACGAAGAGTAGTACATATTGTATCCCATTGATTATAAGTTAATTTGATCTTTTAACTCCCGGTTATTGAGTTCCCTAGGTTTCTAAAATAATATCATCTCTCAGTGACTTTTTGGGTTTGCTTTTTTTGTACTTATAAAACCTATACAGTAGACGCTGTGGTTTTTGGCAAAATTACATTTAACATGCATAGGAATACAAAACTTTTCTGGCCTACAAAAAATTTTCCCAATAATAATAAAAGCATATAAAAGTAACATATGTAGGAATTGATTTGGTTTAAATGAAGGACTGTCTGTTTAACACAAAAATATATCCCATGAGGGCCTCCCCGGTGGCGCAGTGGTTGAGCGCTGGGTTGCGAGGCTGCCCGTGGCCTCTGCGGCGCCGGTTCCATCCCCGGCTGCTCCCCGGCCACCAGAGGAGGGTCCCACATGGCGCGCAGACCTTTCCTGCCGCCCGCTGCTCCCCTCAGCAGTGTGCTTCGGTCCTTCTACCTGCTCTGCTCCCTGCTCTGGCTCTGTTGGGTTCTCTCACCCTCCTGCGCTTCTGACTGTACCCAGTGCTTGTATAAATAAAGAAATTCTTAAAAAAAAAAAAAATATATATATATATATATATATCCCATGAAAGGATATCAACTAATATTTGTGGCATTATTTTCCTTGGAGAGCATGATTATTGATTTAAAAACATGTATTTGGAGAAGTTAACTCATAGTAAGATTAAAGATTAGCTTTTATAAGTCAATTTTATAAATCTACACAGATGGGTGCTTTACCCTTCCTCACATTCACAATTAATATCTTTCTTATTTAAAAGATTTATTAAAATTTCAAATACTACATTTATGTTTCCCTTTACTATACATTATTTGTCAGTTGGTGGTGGTAAAATAATAAGACTATGAATTTGATGGCTACAACAAGAAGTTTAAAGAAAATGTTCTGGGATTAGATTGATTGTATAAATTAAGAAAATACTTTCAGTTGTGTGAACCTTAAAATATTTAGCCCTATAATTCTTATAAAAATATAAATCAAAGACTAAAAAATAAAAATAAAAGACAATAGGAATAAATTTCAGAGTCAGAGCTCTGTCTTGTTTGTTATGTTTTTTTTTTTTTTCCTTTGAAAATTTTAAGACCTGTCAGAATCAAGGGCCCTGACAACTGGTAAACCAGGAGATCTCACTAAACCTTTGCTATCTATCCTCTTTAAAAGTGTTCGTTATTGGACCTTCTGAGAGCTCATAAAGATCCTAATTTTACAAAACAAAATATTTGAGACCTGTAGAATCAAAATGGTTTCAAAGCAGAATTTGTACATCTCTGTTGACTCAATTCAATACAATGTCAGTAAGATTCCCAGTGTCCCTGCCAACCATCAAACACCTTCATGCCTCACCATATCTGGCTAAGTACCATTGAAAACATTGACAAACCCTCAACATATTCTCTACTCACTTGGTATACTGCGAAGTGAAGGGGGAGGCACATTGTTTACACTTATCATATGAGACAATATGGCTGCTGGAAGAGAAGATATAGGCATCTTGATGGCCCAAAGTTTAAAAAGAACAGAGGCTACTTCAGAGGCATATGTTCTCTCTGCCTTAAGACATCATAAAGCAGAACTCTCAAGGTACTCTCTGATAGGTTGAATACTACAGAATCTTATTGTTCACAATTCTTCTATGTATATACAGCATTTCCAAGAGTGAAATCTAGACCAGTAAGTAATATATCCTAATCAAGTGAAATCTATGAAAGAGGCTTTGTGGACTATAAAGAGTAGTTGGAACTAAGAGGGAAATTATAATCCATCAGACAGATAAAACAGAATTAACAGTACATGAGTCTAGGGCCTCCCTGGTGGTGCAGCGGTTGAGCACTGGGTTGCGAAGCTGCCCGCAGCCTCTGCAGCGCCGGTTCGATCCCCGGCTGCGCCCCGGCCACCGGAGGAGGGTCCCACATAGCCCGCAGACCTCTCCTGCCTCCCGCTGCTCCCCTCAGCAGTGTACTTCGGTCCTTCTGCCTGCTCTGCTCCCCGCTCTGACTCTGGTGAATTCTCTCACCCTCCCATGCTTCTGACTGTACCCAGTGCTTGTATAAATAAATAAAAATAATAATAAATCTTAAAAAAAAATAGTACATGAGTCTAGGTCAGATGAAAGAATTCATTTCATTGGTTGTCCTCCACAGAGTTAAAACAATTCAACATAAACAATTCAAACATTTATGTTTCAAAATATAATTACCAAAACTCACTTAGGTAAATAATGTATTATTTATCATTGACTAATCTGTCCTATACACATGACTATAATAAATTGCAAAGTAAAGTAAATATTATTTTACTAGGAGTCAAAAATATCCAAATTAACCAAAATGTTTATAGTGTCTATATAAGCTAACCCTATTAGCTTATAAGATACAATATATGTGTAAATGTATAAAAATGAAACTTAATGATAATTTGTACTGCTTATTTCATTATATGTCAAATTTACTAAGAGAAAATGAGCATTTAATGTAAAAATATTGTCATGAGATCCTGACTCAAACTTTTTCTCATTCTAAATTTTTTCTGAGGTAATTTTTATGTAGTCCAAAATGGTAAGTTCTATTGTGAGATTTATTAATAATCAATTTAAAATCCACTTATCAATATATTATTAAAGAAATAAATCTATTTTGCAGCCCCAATTGACCATCATATGCTGGAGTACACATTTAAATATCTATTTATAATGTATAAATAATGGACTACTTATAAGAAAAATCTTGCATTTGATTTATTTCAATTTTCCACCACATGTGGACATAAGCAATAATATTTCATGTGCTCGAAAAACTGTTCATCACCACTTATTATGAGGAAAATGCAAATAAAGTACACAATGAGATACTATCTCACACCTGTGAGAATGCAGACTGGCCCAGCCCTCATAAAAAACAATATAGAAGTGTTTCAAAACATTAAAAATGGATCTGCCATTTGATCCAGCAATTCCACTCCTAGACATCTACCCAAAAATTTCAAAAACACTAATTCAAAAGGAAATTTGCACTTCTGTGTTTACTGTAGTGCAATTAAGAAAACAATCTAAGTGCCCAGAAACAGAAATGGATCAAAAAGATGTGGTATATATACAATTTTTATAAGGCCCAGTGTTATAAATGTGAGGCGATATCTCATTGTGGATTGGATTTGTATTTTCCTGACGATGAGTGTCTTACTTTTAACCTATAGCAAAAAGAACAAAAATACTAAACTTGAAATGAAATTATTAGTTCATGAAATAATAAGTAGATTAAGAAATGAAAAACCACTGGACATCCACTCCTTCTTCAAAATTATTAAGCTGTATTTTCTCTATGAACTGCAACAACTAGTTTTCTCTGTGTTCTTCAGAAAGTACTTATAAAATCTAGAATCTCTTTATAAATAAGAATGTCATCTGAATATAGAAATCACTATGAAGGTGAATCTAGATGGTATTTGATTTTTTTTATTTTTTTAAATAATAAATTTTATTTTTATATTCCCCATACAATTGCAACCCCCCCATTCTGACCCCAATCCCTCCCCTCCCGCCCCCCACCCCCCAAAAAGTGTCTCTGGTTCATAGTTTTTGTTGATTTTGATTTTCACTTTCTTATAGTTATTCATTTTTCTGGTCCCTTATTTAAGTTTTCTAGATTCCTGCTATGAGTGAGACCATCCGGTATTTTTCTTTTTCTTTTTGGCTTATTTCACTGAGCATGATCCCTTCCAGCGCCATCCATGTTGCTGCAAATTGCATGTGTTTATCTTTTTTGAATGCTGAGTAATATTCCATGGTATATATGTACCACATCTTCTTAATCCAGTCATCTATTTATGGGCATTTGGGCTGTTTCCAAAGCTTAGCTATTGTAAACAGTGCTGCTATAAACATAGGGGTGCAGGTGTTCTTTGGAATTGATGTTTCTGTATCCTTTGGGTAAATACCTAGGAGTGGAATTGCTGGATCATATGGAAGCACTATGTTTAGTAGGTCCAGAAATCTCCACACAGCTCTCCATAGTGGTTGGACCAGTTTGCACTCCCACCAGCAGTGCAGAAGAGTTCCTTTTTCTCCACACCCTCGCCAACACTTGTTGTTGCTAGTTTTTTAATATGTGCCATTCTCACTGGTGTAAGATGGTATCTCATGGTAGTTTTGATTTGCATTTCCCTGATTACAAGTGATGTTGAACATTTTTTCATATGCCTGTTGGCCGTGTGCATTTCCTCTTCAGAGAAATTTCTTTTTAGCTCATCTGCCCATTTTTTGACTGGATTATTTTCTTTGTTGTTGTTGAGTCTCATCAGCTCTTTGCAGATTTTTGTGATCAGTCCTTTATCATTAGTGTTGGGTGCAAAAATGTTCTCCCAGTTGATGGGGTTTCTCTTTGTTTTTGTTATTGTCTCTTTTGCTGTACAGAAGCTCTTTAATTTGATGTAGTCCCAGCTGTTTATCTTTGCCTTCACTATCACTGCTTTGGGTGATGTGTCTGTAAAGATGTCTTTGATGTGCAAATCACGTAGTGTTTCGCCTATATTTCCTTCTATATATTTTATGGGTTCAGGTCTTATGTCTAGTTCTTTAATCCATTTTGAGTTGATTTTTGTGTATGGTGTGAGGTAGTGATCAAGCTTCATTCTTTTGCATGTAGCAACCCAGTTTTCCCAGCACCATTTATTTAACAGACTTTCTTTGCTCCAATGCATAGTCTTTGCTCCTTTGTCAAAGATTAGTTGACCATAAATCTGTGGGTTTATTTCTGGATTTTCTATTCGATTCCATTGGTCTGTGTGTCTGTTCTTGTTCCAATACCAAGGAGTTTTGATGATTATGGCTTTGTAGTAGAGTTTGAAGTCTGGGAGTGTGATGCCTCCATTCCCTTCTTCTTTTTTCAGGAGAGCTTTGGCTATTCGGGGTTTTTTGTGATTCCATATGAATTTCATCAATAATTGTTCTATTTCTTTGAAGAATGACATTGAAATTTTGATTGGAATAGCATTGAATCTGTAGATTGCTTTTGGTAGGATGGCCATTTTAATAATGTTTATTCTTCCAATCCATGAGCAGGGGATGTCTTTCCATTTCTTTGTGTCTTCCTCTATTTCTTTTAACAGTGTTTTATAGTTTTCTTTGTAAAGGTCCTTTACCTCTTTTGTTAGATTTATTCCCAAGTATTTGATTTTCTTTTGTTTCAATAATAAAGGGGATTTTTTTTTCATTTCTTCTTCAGATTTATTATTAGTGTATAGGAAGGCTTCTGACTTTTGCATGTTGATATTGTATCCTGCAACTTTGCTGAACTGATTGATGAGTTCAATTAGTTTTTCCATGGAGTTTTTGGGGTTCTCTATGTATATTATCATATCATCTGCAAATAGTGATAGTTTGACTTCTTCTTTTCCTATTTGGATTCCTTGGATGTCTTTCTCTTGTCTTATTGCTCTGGCTAGGACTTCCAGTATTATATTGAAAAGCAGTGGTGAGAGTGGGCATCCTTGTCTTGGTCCAGATCTTAATGGAAATGCTTTCAGCTTTTCACCATTGAGAATGATACTGGCTGTTGGCTTGTTATAAATGGCCTTTATGATGTTGAGGTATGTTCCTTGTATCCCAAGAATTTCAAGGGCTTTTATCATGAATGGGTGTTGCACTTTGTCGAAAGCTTTCTCAGCATCTATTGATATTATCATATGGTTTTTATATTTCTTTTTGTTGATGTGTTGGATAACGTTGATTGATTTTCGGATGTTGAACCATCCTTGTGTCCCTGGAATGAATCCTACTTGGTCGTGGTGAATTATCTTATGGACACATTGTTGGATTCTGATAGCTAAAATTTTATTGAGGATTTTTGCATCAGTGTTCATTAGGGAGATTGGCCTGTAGTTTTCCTTTTTTGTGTTGTCCTTGTTTGGTTTTGGTATTAGTGTAATGTTGGCTTCATAGAACGTGTTTGGTATTGTCCCTTCCTTCTCAATATTTTGAAAGAGTTTGTGAAGGATAGGCACTAATTCATCTCTGAATGTTTGGTAGAATTCATTTGTAAATCCATCAGGTCCTGGGCTTTTGTTTTTGGGGAGGTTTTTGATTACCATTTCAATTTCGCTAATTGTAATTGGTCTGTTCAGGTGTTCTATTTCTTCTTTATCTAGCTTTGGGTGATTGTAGAGTTGTAGGAATTTGTCCATCTCCTCTAGATTGTTAAACTTGTTTCCATATAACTGTTCATAGTAGTTACTGATTATTCTTTTGATTTCTGCTGTGCCCATTGTGATTTCTCCTCTTTCATTTGTGATCCTGTTTATTTGTGCTTTCTCCCTTTTTTCCTTTGTGAGCCTGGCTAGGGGTTTGTCTATTTTATTGATTTTTTCAAAGAACCAGCTCTTGGTTTCATTGATCTTTTGGATCGTTTTTTTAGTTTCAATTTCATTTATTTCTGCTTTGGTTTTTATTATTTCTTTTCTTCTATTGGTTTTGGGGTTTTTTGTTGTTCTTTTTCTAGATCTTTGAGCTTCGAGATTAGGTTGTTTCTTTGAGTTCTTTCTTGTTT